GCCTAAGACCAAAGAATTTGTTCATTCTCCCACTTTTGTAAGCACAAAAGAACCCCAAGTTTCTCAACTACAGGAGTTCATCTTTGATACATCAAGGCAAATAGAAGGCCCAATTTTGAGGCCAGCCTCAATATCTGCCAACATAAAGTCAAAATCCAAGTTAAATCATACTCCAAACATTACACTGATATCCAGTGCATCATGGAGGGTTGGTAATCACATTCATAAAACTGAGGGCTTTATCTCCTTAAAAACCACAAACTTGGATTCTGCCAGGAGGCCTTAGTGGAGTAGTTTTAGACTTTACTTAGGACCCGCAGGATTTTTGCAGAGTATATTCACCCCTTTAGGGCCTTCCCTGAAATTACTGGGACTTACAAGCTCATAAGAGCTGTACAATCAGGTCCTAAAAGTTATTTTCATAGGCCCTCCGTGGCTTACAAGGAAGTAAACAATGGCACTGAACTATCTGCTGCTTTGTGCCTCATGCTCCCTGCAACCAGAAACACAGGCAAAGAGTTTCATAAAGGGTTAAAAATCATGGGGATTTTTTTTGTGCTTTAAAATATTGCATGAGATTCACTTCCGTATGAATGATGATTATCTTCATTTTCTTCCCTGCCTCTTTGTCTAACGAACACATTTTTACAGGTTTTACAGGGTTCTTTACAACTCACCTAAAACACGTAATTTTCCTCCTGCTTATATCACTTGTTTATTATTTATTTATTAGATTTATATGCTGCTTTCCTTCAAAAAGCTCTAGGCACCATGAAGCCAACTCTGGTATAATAAACATTAAACTCTTCTTAAAAACCATAGCCAAGAAAGTGGCCAACATGAAGGTGAATGAGACAAGGACAAGGACAGAAAGAAGAAAGAGCCATAGGTCTGGTAAAATACACAAGCAAATAGTACGTTAGGAAGCCCAGTGACTGAAGGGCCTGTTTTGCCCTTTCTGGTCACTCTACTTGCAAAGACCTGACAGTGATTTCCATTCCAAGTAACAGAGCCAAAAAATCACAGATTCTGTGTGGGGGTGGGCATGGATCTGTAGAGGAGGGCAGGGGCCATGGAGTATGATAGGTCTCTCTCCAGGCTCAGGGGAGGGTGTCTGAAAACAAAGATACCTACACAGACAATGTGTTTTGAAAATCAATATAAAAAGATACATCATGATGTTTTAGAATATATGACCAAGAGAGATTTTTTTTTTTTTTATAAATACTGTTGCTGCCCAGTCCTCAGTCTGCTAACTGTCCATGACTTCCAAAGATTCTGTGAACTTTCAGAGGCCAGGAAAGCTCAAAAGTTCAAAGATTATCAAAATTGGAAAGTGACAAGGGGACTTCAGCTTTTAAATGCCAGGCCACATTGATCTGACAAAGCCACGTGTTGACATCCTGGATGTATGATCCCTACAATGGTGGAAGGGGTAGCTAAACAGTAACTCCGAGTAACTGGACAAGAATGAGCAAGAACAGAGTATATTCTTATTTAGGGTCCAAAGAAGAAAGGACCATTCCCAGTAAATGGAGCAGATGACGTAGTGGGACAGAATCAAACCAGGAGAAAAGAATAACATTCATCATCATTACTAGTAGTAGTAGTGTTATTTTTACTTAGTGGATACTATGCACCAGGCATTGGTGGCTCAGATGGTAAAGTGTCTGTCTACAATGCGGGAGACCTGGCTTCGATCCCTGGGTCGGGAAGATCCCCTAGAGAAGGAAATGGCAACCCACTCCAGTACTCTGCCTGGAAAATCCCATGGACGGACGAGCCTGGTAAGCTGAAGTCCAGTTGGGGTCGCTACGAGTTGGACACGACTGAGCGACTTCACTTTCACATGCACCAGCATTCTTGTGCTTCAATTACATACGCAGACCTCTTTAAATCTCAGAACAAAGCTACAGGGTGGGTATGACCATTTTCTTAATTTTACAAATAAGGAACCTGAGACTTAAACAAGTTATTTGTCCAAAGTCACTCAGCTAGTAAGTGCTCGAGCTAGGATTCAAACCCAGCATAAAAGGATAGGTAAGAAAAGAAAATCAGTTCAGTCACTCAGTCGTGTCCGACTCTTTGCGACCCCATGAACCACAGCACGCCAGGCCTCCCTGTCCATCACCAACTCCCGGAGTCCACCTAAACTCATGTCCATTGAGTCGGTGATGCCATCCAACCATCTCATCCTCTGTTGTCCCCTTCTCCTCCTGCCCTCAATCTTTCCCAGCATCAGGGTCTTTCAAATGAGTCAGCTCTTTGCATCAGGTGGCCAAAGTATTGGAGTTTCAGCTTCAACATCAGTCCTTCCAATGAATATCCAGGACGGATTTCCTTTAGGATGGACTGGTTGGATCCCCTTGCTGTCCAAGAGACACTCAAGAGTCTTCTCCAGCACCACAGTTCAAAAGCATCAATTCTTCGGTGCTCAGCTTTCTTCATAGTCCAGCTCTCACATCCATACATGACCACTGGAAAAACCAAAGCCTTGACTAGATGGACCTTAGTTGGCAAAATAATGTCTCTGCTTTTTAATATGCTATCTAGGCTGGTCATAACTTTCCTTCCAAGGAGTAAGCGTCTTTTAATTTCATGGCTGCAATCACCACCTGCAGTGATTTTGGAGCCCCCAAAAATAAAGTCTGACACTGTTGCCACTCTTTCCCCATCTATTTCCCAAGAAGTGATGGGACCGGATGCCATGATCTTAGTTTTCTGAATGTTGAGCTTTAAGCCAACTTTTTCTCTCTCCTCTTTCACTTTCATCAAGAGGCTCTAGTTCTTTACTTTCTGCCATAAGGGTGGTGTCATCTGCATATCTGAGGTTACTGATATTTCTCCTGGCAATCTTGATTCCAGCTTGTGCTTCTTCCAGCCCAGTGTTTCTCATGATGTACTCTGCATATGAGTTAAATAAGCAGGGTGACAACATACAGCCTTGACATAATCCCTTTCCTATTTGGAACCAGTCTGTTGGTCCATGTCCAGTTCTAACTGTTGCTTCCTGATCTGCAGACAGGTTTCTCAAGAAGCAGGTCACCATGAATAGTATGAAAAGAAAAGAAAGCGGACATATAAAAGGCATCTGTGCATTGACAGAAAGGAAGATCAATTTCCCTTCTGAAAGCAGTTATGAGACAGTGAACAGCACAATAGTGGGCTAGGGATCACAAATAAAGAGCTTACAGTAAGGCAGCAGCAAGCTGGGTGTAGACAGAAAAGGGCTAGCCATGTGGAAGCCCTGTGAAAAGAGAGAAGCCCAGAAGGGAGCCGTATGCTTACCCCCTGCACCTGAGTGAGCAGGATCTGGAGCTGGGTACTGAAACCCACTGTGTTGTCTTGGATAACTGATTGCATATTTCAGCCAAGTTTACTGCAAAGTTCTAAACTGAGTCATTCTCAGTAAACCCTTTGTGACTGACCCCCATCTAAATATAAGTACCATTCAGGAATCACTTACTAATCATTCAGCGTTTAACTTATATCATCTTACTTAAACCTCACAGCAACAATAGAAGGTTGATAATACCATCATTATCCCCATTTACATGAGAAGACACAGAGAAGTCGAGTAACTTGCCCAAAGTCACACAGAGTTAGGAAAAGGTAGAGACGGACCCCAGGTCCAGGGAGTCTGACTCCACAGCCTAATTTCCTAGGCTCCATTCTATGTTCCTTCTAGAACCTGATTCTGTTCACTCCATTCCAGCACTCTGCAACCCCCTCTCAGTTCTGTCTGAACTCTGTTCCAAGGAGGAAACTAGCCAACGCAATATCTCTCATTTTTACTCCTGGAGGGTCATCTCTGTCAAGTCACCCACGCTGACCAAGTGGAGATTATCTGGGAAAAGATGAAGACGGTACTACAGAGAGAGAGAAAAGTGATGTGGGACCTTGCTAAACTGGACATTCCCAGACCTTTTGAGCATGCCTTGTATCAGAGCATGAAAGTATGAAAGTATTGGTTGCTCAGTCATGTCCGACTCTTTGCGACCCCATGCACTGCAGCCCCGCCAGGCTCCTCTGTCCATGGGATTGATTCTCCAGGCAAGAACAGTGGAGTCAGTTGCCATGCTCTCCTCCAGGGGATCCTCCCAACCCAGGGATCGAAGCGGGTCTCCCACAAGGCACGCTGATTCTTTACCATCTGAGCCAGCAGTCCCCATGGAAGATGGCTTCTACCTGGCAGTTCCAGGGAGGTGAACGGAGACCAACTTCACCTGGATCCTCTGACCTTTCACAATCGCTCCCCTTTACTTCTCAGCCACCCAGGAAATGGGGGGGAGGTGGGGGCTTGTGCCTAATAGAAATAGAACCGGGCACCTCTCCCAACTGAAGGACAACCCTTAACGATGTCTCTTAAAATCTTTGAAGGTACTTAGTATTTTCCAACCAACAGGAGCCACTGTTTTCATTTTTAGGGAGGTCATGGCCAATGTGTTCAAGAAACAAATGATGAAAGCAACTCGCTCAATGTACACTGATGTCTCAGATACGCTGAAACCGACCAAAAATACAGCTGTTGCTGGGTCTTCAGCCGGTCACCACCACCACCCTTGTGCCTAAGGAAAGGGACATGGGAAGCGAGCCTCTTCTATAAGAAAAGAGGTAGTTTCATTTATACAATTATGGGCTCTTCAGTGCTTTTCTGGGACTTCCCAGGTAGTGCTAGTGGTAAGAACCCACCTGCCAATGCAGGAGGCCTACGAGACGCAGGTTCAATCCCTGAGTCGGGAAGATCCTCTGGAGGAGGGCATGGCAACCCACTCCAGTATTCTGGCCTGGAGAATCCCCATGGACAGAGGAGTTGGCGGGCTACAGTCCATGGGGTCGCATAGAGTCGGACACAACTGAAGCGACTTAGCACGCAGCACAGTGCTTTTCCTTCTTTTTTTTTTCTTTGCCTCCTCATCCCCACCTTCTTCCGCAGACATACAGAATCCATGACAAGGCATCCAGCCCAGCCCTAGAGAAGGGCAAGGAGTTTCTCCTACCTTCCACTTGATAAGCTGAGGTGGCTGCCCCCCATCCAAATCCTGCAGGGAAAGCCATGTGTTTCAGAGACAGCGGACCCGGACACTTGGGCGACGGAGCACCTTTCAGGCAGAGTCCCGCAGTTGCGCAAACAGTAAGTGAACTCTCACTCTGGCTGAAGTCACGCATCGTGAGCGAATATGCAAATAAGAAGGGTGTCTGATTAAACGACTCTGCTTGAATGGCCACAGCCTTGATAGGAAGCCAAGTCACTGTGTTCAGGGAGAGTGTCTATAATTTCTTCCCTGGACACTCCCTGATTCTTAACAGAGTTGGGCCAGCCTGGGCACAGACCTAGTCCCTGCAGGGCACCCGTCCTTCTAATCTTATGAAATACATGGACATTGCTTTTAAAAGTCACGAAAACCCTAGTGGCTCAGCTGGTAAAGAATCCGCCTGCAATGTGAGAGACCTGGGTTTGATCCCTGGGTTGGGAAGATCCCCTGGAGAAGGGAAAGGCTACCCACTCCAATATTCTGGCCTGGAGAATTCCATGGACTGTATAGTCCATGGGGTCACAATGCAGGAGAGCCAGGTTCGATCCCCGAGTCCGGAAGATCCCCTGGAGAAGGAAATGTCAACCCACTCTGGTACTCTTGCCTGGAAAATGCCATGGACGGAGGAGCCTGGTAGGCTGCAGTCCTTGGGGTCACAACGAGTCGGACACGACTGAGCAACTTCACCTTCTTTCTTTAATCCTCCTAGAACTTTCCCTTGACCAATTCCTCCCAATGTCTTATCCCCATGCCCTGGAGGTAACCATCCTCAGCTGTTTCTGCTGGTTTTTATTTTCATGTTGCTTCCCAGGTGGCGCTAGTGGTAAAGAACCTGCCTGCCAGTGCAGGAGGCATAAGAAAGGCAGGTTCGATCCCTGGGAGTGAATGATCCCCTGGAGGAAGCATGGCAACCCACTCCAGTATTCTAGCCTGGAGAATCCCATGGACAGAGGAGCCTTGGGGGCTACACCCCATAGGGTCCAAAGAGTTGGACACAACTGAAGCCTGCTCGGTATAGGTATGTATGTCTAAGCAATAGGCTGATACTGGTGCTTCTTAATTTGTTTTTCAATTTTCCATAGTAACTATTGACTTCTGGATAGAAGGGTGGGAGATCCCAGCATGTGTCTGTTCTCTCTTTCTCTCCCCTTCCTCCATTCCCCCCAATGTGGTTAGATTACTATTTCTGTTTAAATAAGTGTTCACTATTTACATGAATTTGACCAAGTATGGCTCAAAGCTAAACCATGTAGCATACCACACTTATGTGAAGCTTTTTATTTTCTCTCGGGCTCATCAACTGTCTGGGTTTAATATTTAATTTCCTGTATACTTGTCACTAATTTATCCCCACACAGTCTGCTATGAATCTATGTTCAGACACTTCTGTTTTCCTGCTCCACGCTGCACTGCTTATTTCTCAGGCAGCCACGGATGTGCCTGGTCTGCAGCCTCCTGCATCAGCTCTAGGATTTCTCCCTGTTTGTTTCCTTTCCCTTTTTAGAGAAGCAAGCCCTTGAATAACTTTCTGATACAAAGGGCATGCTGCTGCTGCTGCTAATTCGCTTCAGTCGTGTCCGACTCTGTGCGACCCCATGGACAGCAGCGCACCAGGCTCCTCTGTCTCTGGGATTCTCCAGGCAAGAACACAGGAGTGGGTTGCCATTTCCTTCTCCAACAAAGGGCACAGGAGGCATATTTTTTGAAACCCCATAGTTCTACAATTATCTTTATTCTAATGTCACACTTGATATGTAGTTTGGCTACTCTGGAATTTTATAACACAGATAATTTTCACTCAGAATTTTGAAAGCATTGGTTTATGGCCCTCTAGCTTCTGGTGTGGCGATTGAGAAGTCTGATGACAAGCCAAGCCTCATCTTTCATATGTCGCCTGTTTCGTGCCTCAGCTCACTCACATTGCTCCCCGACCTTCTCTTTCTGAAACTTCAGTCGCGTGCCTCGTGTGGAACTTCTCATCCACTGCGCCAGACGCAGTGTGTGGACCGTAGTCCTGAGGATGCTGACTATAGGGGAAGCCGGGTGGAGCGTACACAGGAACATTCTCTACTATCTATGCACCTTTCCTATACATCCAAAACCGATCCAAAATTAAGTTGGCTTTTTTAATGCCTGGGGAGAGAGGAGTTAAGAAAAATCAAAGCGAGGAAAGGTATTTCTTCAGTTCAAGTGTTAGTCGCACAGTTATGTCTGACTCTTTGCCACCCCAAGTACTGTAGGCTGCCAGGTTCCTCTGTCCATGGGATTCTCCAGGCAAGAATACTGAAGTAGGTAGCCATTCCATTCTCCAGGAGATCTTCCCAAACCAGGGATCAGACCTGGGTCTCCCCCATTGCAGGCAGATTCTTTACCATCCGAATCACCAGGGAAGCCCCCAGTTCCTCTAAGACAGCAATAATACATCCTACACTATGTAAGACAGGAACATAAGATTGGATCAAAGTATAGCTAGGTTGAAATCCTACCCTCTCTAGTAATCCTAATCCTAGGAAAAAAGAAGTTAACTATCAAAGGAAATGAGGGAAGACATTTAAAGGGTATGTGTTTGGTGACATAAACGTAAAAAACACAAGACATGATATTAAAGTCCCTCTAGTCTTTCAGTTCTGAAGCAATCATAAACTGAATGAAATATAAATAAATATTAAAATATTTTCACTATGGAACACTAGATGGCAGTATTGTAATTTTTTAGGTTTACAAATTGCTGTGTGAAGTGTTACTAACATTTCCTTATCCCACCAATGGCCATCTACACCATAACCCCTAGCTTCTAATGATTTTTCTCCAGAAAGAAAAATCTACCTTCTCAGTGCTTCACATTCTCTGAAATTATTAGACCACAAATGGCAGAATCTAATTTTTCTCAGCTCTGGTGGCAGTCTGCAATCTAGCATTCTTAAGCATCTTGGTGTCAGGACCTCTTTACATCCTTAAAAAGAACTGAAGCCCTAAAGAGCTTTTTTAAAATATGATTTGTATTTATCAATATTTATTCTATTTGAAATTAACACTGAGATTTTTAAAATATTTACTGATGAATTCATCTAAATAGCAATAAAAAGCATGTGAGCATAAATATTTTATGAAAAGTAATCATATAATCATAAACAAAGAATATTTAGTGAGAAGAGTGTTTTGCATCTTTGCAAATCTCTTTTATGCCTGGCTTAAGAGAAGACAGCTGGATGTTTATATCTGCTTTCATTTGATCCGTTGCCTCTGGAAAACTCCTCTGTACACTCATGGAGGAAAGAAAGATGAGAGTGGAAAAGACAAGTCATGTCTCAGGATAAGTATGGGCCCCCCAAAGGGTCTTCAGGCCCCAGGGGTACCTTTGCTCCACCGGCACAATCTCCAATGCCTCCCTTTGCTTCCCACAGTCTCTCTATTCTCGCCTTAGAGAGAGCTCATTCCACTAACACTCCCCACACTAAAACCCTCTTGGCTAGAAGACCTGTGAATTTGCAGCCCCCATCTTCAGTAAGAAAAAAAGTTATTTCTTAGTTTTCTTTATACAAAAGAACTCTGATTTCATGGCCCCATCTAGCAAGACTGTCTGGTAATTTAATTTGTTATTGAGTCCCCTGCACTCCATTTTAGGGCCAAATAAGAAAATTCAGGTCTTTTGAAGATGATGTTTTAAATGCTTAATGTCCCCAACCTCCCACTTCCCAATTTTAATCCCTACTAGATGATGCTAATTCGTCCACTATCTAGTCTATACCTGCCACTGCCCCCTGCAGTCCACTAACTCTCAGCTTTTGAGACATAGGAAACCTTTAAGGGTGTACATCTGAACCCTTAGGTTCAACTCACTTTCAAAACCACACAATAATCCCTTTGAGATCCTACCACCCTCCCAGCGTCCTGCTTCAGGACAGCACACCAAATCCTGCCATTCAGGACAGCCACTGACCTCTGTCCACATTCAAAACTGAAGGGAAGTGAATATATGACTTGCATTATGGGTTTGGCTGCAGCCGTGCTCTTTCTTTTTCTTTTCTTTTTTTTTTTTTAATTAACGTATTCATTTTAATTGGAGGCTACTTACTTTATAATATTGTAGTGATTTTGTCATACATTGACATGAATCAGCCATGGGTGTACATGTGTTCCCCATCCTGACCCTACCTCCCACCCCCCTCCCCATCCCATCCCTCTGGGTCTTCCCAGTGCACCAGCCCTGAGCACTTGTCTCAGGCATCCAACCTAGGCTGGTGATCTGTTTCACCCTTGATAGTATACTTGTTTCAATGCTATTCTCTCTAAACATCCCACTCTCACCTTCTCCCACAGAGTCCAAAAGTCTGTTCTGTACATCTGTGTCTCTTTTTCTGTTTTGCATATAGGGTTATCATTACCATCTTTCTAAATTCCATATATATGTGTTAGTATACTGTAATGGTCTTTATCTTTCTGGCTTACTTCACTCTGTATAATGGGCTCCAGTTTCATCCATCTCATTAGAACTGATTCAAATGAATTCTTTTTAATGGCTGAGTAATATTCCATGGTGTATATGTACCACAGCTTCCTCATCCATTCGTCTGCTGATGGGCATCTGGGTTGCTTCCATGTCCTTCTTATCCATTCATCTGCCAATGGACATCTAGGTTGCTTCCATGTCTGGGCTATTGTAAACAGTTGCAGCCATGCTCTTTCTAGAAATCCTGGAGTGCTCAAAGACTATAAATGCTGTACCCTCTGAGGTAAAAGTATATCTCACAGAAACTCTTCTTTGCTGACAAGCTGTTACTCAGTAGAGATTCTGCACCATCAGTCAGACTTTGACCCTCCCAACCTGAAAGACCAAGATTCAAAAACCCTGGCATTCACCATGTTCCTGGGTAGCTTTGTCAGGAGAAAAGTCAGGGTCTACATAAGCATTTTTCTGTCTGCAGCAGAGATTGCTATGTGTTAGCCGAATCCTGGTTCCTTTTCCATCTGGGCACACAATTAGACCACATTTGTCAGCTCTGTTGCATTTAAACGTGGCTATATGACCATGTCCTGGCCAGTGGAATGTGGCCAGAAAGAACATACATCGCTTCCAA